CCCCCAAAACCCCAAAACCCCAAAACCCCAATTTAGGAATTTTTATTGAAAATTTTTGGTTAGAGCCCATTTTGAGCAAGCCGCTTTTTTGAAGCACGTAGTCTTTGGTACTTAGAGCGAGGAGATCCTTCTTTGAAATTAGATAATGCGATGATATCAGATGTGGTCACTGCTCTCTTCTTCCTGGAAGAGCCTATTTGGGGATTTGGTAGGACCATAAAGTCCTCCTCCATTGCAAGACCCATCCTTCTCTTTGCATAGGAGCTAGAATTCTTCAAAGAACCAGGACTTGAGTTTTTGCTATCTCACAAATGACGTTTAAGTGATCCCTCTTTTGAGAGTCTATAGTTATGCTTTAGCTTGTTCTTGATTCCATTAGCGACCTTCTTTATTTCCTCCTTTGATCTCTCTTGGCTTGTGATTCCCTCAGGTATTGATTTATGGCTACTAGATCCCTTTAGCATTTTCTTCTGCTTTGGCTGCCTTACTCTAGGCTTGGCTTTTCCATACACAATGATCTCATTATCTTCGAGGCTGACCTCCACAAGAGGACTAAACTTAGTCTTCAAGGAGTATAGATATTCAGCCTTTGTAGTCTTATTATTTTGAGAGGAATCTCCAATTCTTGCTTTTGGCTGAAGGTAATTTTGATAGTTATTTTTCTGATATTTCTTCAATGCTGGACTTCTTTGAATTCCCGGAGAGCCTCCAGGTAATCCTGGCTTCCTTGCCATTGATATTTTTGAAGGTGCAAGGTGCTCTGCCTTCTCCTTTTGTTTGATAAACTCTTGGAAAGGAATAATATGAGATGTTTTCTGGTTACCAATTCTTGAAGGTTTTTGCACTGTATCAACAAGGTGCTTTTCCTCTTCTCCCCGACTAATAAAACTACCAGATTCCTCAAGGAATGTAGCATATTTATATCTTCTGCCAAATCTAACTTCAGACTCTTCATCCACAGATCTTTTCATTCCAAAATTAAATTGACTTTCCTGTAAATGTTGAGAATGATAAATTTCCAAATTATTAATAATTTTATTTTGGGAAAACTCTGAGATGCTAGCATCCATACTTTTTAGCTTAGTATCCCGTCTATATCTCTGCACATAAGATTCAGAGTTATATCCAGCTCTGGTTCGATCAGATCCAGACACTTCTCTCAGATGTGAATTAGGCTGTGACGCTAAGTTCTCAGTCGGACTCAGGGCTATGCTTCTTTGAGGAGTACACTTTTCAGCCTCCCTCTTAATATTTGACCTAGATCATCAAGCGAATTGGTATTACCTAGCTCTGTTCAGGCATTGATCTGGTGAAAGCCTGCTGACACTATTCAGACTATTAAAACTGCTTAATATAAGTTAAGCCATTTTTCTGTGATTTAGTGTTGACTTTTCCAAGACTATTTTCTGCCGTCATCTCCTCTGCCTGGCTTATGAGAAAGCTGAAAATTGTTGGTTTTATACCGGCCGCTCTCCTCATAAAGTCCTTGAATTAGGGTAGGTTTTGAGATAGAATGCTTAATAATAGTCTTAGAAGCCTCTCTTTGTCTACTGAGGCTACTTCTTTGTATAGTTTTCTGTACAAAAGAATGCTCTTTCTTTGTTCCTCTAGGAAGGTTAACTGCAGCATATGCGCAAGCATGTGTATATCTTTTCTCAAGATCTTTGTTGGTAGAGTATTTTCTTGTCCTCTTCTATTTTTAATGAAAATCTTACCACTGCTTTTGTATCGTGTGCTAAAATACCTTTGGAAAGGCTGGTTTTTGACAAACTCTTTTGTAATTTTGGTTTATTCGCTCCTGTTCTGCCTCCTCTCTTATGGGATTTTAATGCTCTAGTTCTGGATGATTTGCTAGTGCCTTTTGGGAGTATTAAAGTCCTTTCTGAATATTCTAGTAGGTTAAAATTTTCAGGATCGTTGTCAAATGGAGGCTTGATTGATTTAAATTTTGATACAGCCTAATAAGTCTCTTGCTTGTTGGTTTCGAAGTAATTTATCATTATTATGCTCATTTTTGGTAGAGCTTAGGAAGTAAATCCAATGCTTAAGGATCTCAACAGATCTTTTTGAGATTAAAGTGTTCGATCATTTTTCCTTACTTTCAACTTTACTCACCTCATGATCAGATTTATCGATTATCTTGAGTAAGATGTTTAAATACATCTCTCAATCTTTAAGAAGGCTCACAAGTACAGCATCATGCTCATCTTTAGCAACATCTTGAATTCTGTAAAACAAATCTACTATTCTTTTTGCTCGATATGCCATTTTCAATGAAACTTATGTTAAAAGGGGTTTTGGGGTTTTGGGGTTTTGGGG